ATTTTTGTTTTTGTGTTAAAATTTGTGTTCATTCTAGAATGAAAGAGAGATAATTATATTTATTTATTTGAATTTTTATTGTGATTGCAAGATCAGTCAAATCTACCAAACCCGTACAGAGATTAATTACTGAAAATAAAATATAAAGTTTTTTATTAACATTTGATAACTATCTGGACATTACAAAGATTTCGCCTGTGAAATTTCAAAATTTTCTGATGCATAAAAGTATTTTTAATTTTAAAATGAATATTACTGTTCATGACAGATAGGCAACATGCAAAAAGAAAAAAAAACGACATGTAAAAAAACATTGCTTTATAAACCTTATAAAGACTTAATAAAAAAATTTGATATTTTGTGTATGAAAGCATTGTAATGTTTCCTGATAATCTGCCAAATTTTTTTAACATTCGCTTACTAATTTAAAAGTTAGAGCATGAAAACTATAACAAGCACGAAATGGTTACGAGGTCGGTCCCAGGGATCTAGCCAGTGCTGGAAGAGTTAACTGACAGAGTATTTCTAAAAGTTCAACAGACTTGTCAGGTTTTGTGTATTCCTTTATGCTTAACATGCGAGGTCTTCATATTATCTTGAAAATAAAATAAGAATACTTTTTAATTTCTACATACCAACCACTCTGTCTCCTTTCTTTACTCCCAGCTTTTTCATTGCTGCTGCATAGGCTCCCACCCTGTTATAGAGCTCGGCAAATGTCACTTCTTCTACTGGATTCATTCCTTCACCTACATATACGAACAAAAACTTTTAAGAAATTACAAAATTTTAACAAGTATTTTTGTTTCTGATTTATGCTGCCGATATAATCTAGAATGTTACTGATTCAATCTAATATATTTTGAAACTTATTTAAAAACAAACAAAAAATATTATGTCAAACCAATATTTATAAGCGTACCTGTAACATAAAGGGCTATTTTATTATCCTTGTAACGAAGCAAGTTTTCAGCAAAATTGAGTCTTGCTCCCTTAAACCACTGCGGAATTTCACTAATTTTTTTTGTTGTGTCAATCACCTTGAATAAAACAGAAAAAAGCAATAAAGTAAAATTCCCATGTAAAACCATCACATGTCGATAATACTAAGATACCAGATAATAAATGTGAAGCTCAATCTATTATAGATTTACATCTTGTCACTGAGTTATATCAGTTTTGGGAAATTCCACCACTTATCAGTGTCCATAGACAAGGGCAAATAAAAAAAATAAAATTAGGCTTCATATGGTGGTCGATTGTATGTATATAGCGTTTTGACATCTCAAAACACCACACAGATAATATTGAAAGACATTTAAAATTATTCACACTACTTTGTTCCAAAAGTATCTGTAACAACATAACTTATCTCAGTCCTTTTCCTCATTTAGATTTTAAACAAATTTTTTATTTGATAAGCCTGATTCTATTAGTTCATTTGATAAAATGAAACATTAATATTTCATAAAATTTAACTCCAAGACACTCGCTTCAAAGTATATTACACAATCGTATACTGTGATATTAAACACACATTTTTTCTTGTAGTTTGCCAAATGTAGGGTTTGTTTGTTTGAAGTTAAGCACAAAGCTACACAATGGGCTATCTGTGCTCTGCCCACCACAGGTATCGAAAACCGGTTTCTAGTGTTGTAAGTCCACAGACATACCGCTGTGCCACTGGGGGGATGCCAAATGTAGGAGTTTCAAACATTGCTAAATTTAGTAAAGACTGAAAGCTGATACTAAAAATAAATACATTAATAAAAAAAGAAAACTGAAAAATTGGTATCCAACAGTTGAAGTAATAACAATAAATAAAAACATTTTTTACAGCATGATACTTTTATCAGCAGCTATTACTCTGAATTTTTGAATGTCTTATATTTTAACTGAAAATAAAATTTTAAACTTTTAAAAACAACAGCTTGATTAAAACAAGTTTGATTAAAATTTACTTATTAAATATGCACAAGAGCTACCGAAGGCTTTTAGTAAATATACAAAACATAAAATAAAATATAACTAATGTCAATTTGTATAATTTATTGAGCTTCAGTGTATCTAATAATTTGATAAAAGATACTTGATTTGTTTGATTTAATACTATGTCAACATATTCTTACCATTCGTTTACCATACTTATCATAACTCTCAGGTATTCAAATGTGTCAAAACATGAAATTTTTATCCTTATTTTTGTCAGTGATAATTTACTTATGAGTAAAATCAAGAAGATGGGTAATTTCTGAAACAGAAACTTTTAACTATATGAATGGAAATATTTTACAAACGTTTCTGGTGTTAGATTGAGTGTTTTCACTACTGGAGAAAGATGTTCTCAAACTTTGTAAATAAAATTTTAATGTTGAAAATGCATATGTTTCTCTTGCTTACTGAGTTAGCTATGTCTTTTCTGCATGCGTGTGTCAGACATCACAAGAAAAAAAGAAAAAAAAAAAGATTTAAATTGAATCAAGTCTTTGTAAAAAAAAAGAAATTCCACATTTCTGGTCGCAACCTGTTTTGCTGGTGAAAACGTGTTTTGAAAGGTTTCTAAATGTATTAAAACATGCATATGAATCAAGCAAGTGTCTTCTACGTCTCTTGAAATCTTAGCTGGATTTTTGCCATGATAATCTCCTCATATACATACAACAACACCATAAGAAATGTAGCATGTAGCACACTTTATTCTGAGATACAATGTAGATGTTCAATAAATGGAAAACATTTTTTAACTTCAGTAGTTTTTCTTCAGCCAAATACCAAATTAGAATGAACTGTGGTTTTTATGTGGTTTTTAACTTTATCACTGCAAGCACATTGACTCCTTTGAGCAAGATGAGCTCTTAACTAGTTACTTATCCAAGTATGGAATCAAATAAAGAACTATTTTGGGGGTTTCTGCCTCATATTAATCATTGCAATATCTTGACCTTTATGCAACGTATTCTAATGTATGTATAATAATGTATTCTAAATATGTTCGAGTTTAATAAAAAGTAGCAAAGTCCAAATGGAGCTCTCTGTGACACCTCACCTTGATCTTTACACATGACTAATATCAAAAATTTTTAGTTGACTAAACATGGCAACAAATAAACAATTTAATGACTTTGATGCCTTTAAGCTATGAACTTCTGAAGACCTCCTGAAATTAGACACAACTTGTCAACTGATCAAATTTAACAATTTTTATCTGTACTCGATCGAGAACACTCCTTAATGAGAACATCTTGATTTGCATGCATATCCATAACCAAGACTCAAGTTTTACAATTTTACAAAGTTAACTCTATGTCCTCTAAAGAAAGTTTGTACACATACAGACAGCTGCTGAAAACTGCTATTTTTTAGCACTCATATCCATTACATAGGTGACACACCCAACATATTTGAAGAAATTCCTTAATAACGACAAACACACTAGAAAATATTTTAGGTGAGAGCAGAATAATTCAGAAAAATGTGTACAAGGAATTAATTTCTCATTAAAATATCCATGACTAAATTACAGATTTTCTGATTACAAAGTCAGATGAAATTCTAATAAAAAGTGTAAGAATAGTTCATTACAAAATAAACAAAACTACAACAAAAATAAAATATTTTGACGGAAGTGGTACAATGGTGTCATATCTATCTTTAGTATACTTGATACTACGAAATCCACTACATTTCTAAAACATCGGTTTATTCATTTACTAAAACATTGCTACAGTGTATGTAATATAATTATAGAAAAATGTTTTATTTACATTATTATATTATGTGGTCTACTCGTACCTAATAAATATTCATTTTTAAGCCATTAGAAATGCTTATGTCAATTACTAAATAAAACTTGACATTTTAGATCCACGATGCTAATAACTGATATGATATTACGAAGACAATATTTTACCTTATATTGTTAATAACAACTACTTGCTGAACATTAGCATATTTTTTTGTATTAAAGTCTTGTAATTATAAAGTCAATAGAAGAGTAGCTTTGAGCTTTCAGGCAGTACAACACTTAAGACATCTTCCAAGCTTATCGTTCAGTTAATATAAATGAAAATGTGAGCTTTTAAAAACAACTGCAGAGGGTGAAGAAAGATATAATAAGAATAAAATGTATTTGTATAATATAAGCTAATCCACAAGCATCTGCTCTTTAGAAATTGGCATCCAGCCTGTTAACATGTAAAGACCACATGAGGAAATCCCATGGAAATTTCCAAGGAAAAAAAAGTCTCTAGTTTCCTTGTACAGTTCAGAATCACTATATAATTGCTCAAGATCATGGGAGTGTATGTACATGTATTAAAATATATCAAGTCAAGGAAACAAGCTAGCTACTACAGGTCTGATACGTAGATGTTGTTTAAGGACCTCAAAAAAACTATTTCTTGTATTTTGATTTTACTTCTAAGCCCACTAAGTAGTAAAATGTTTAATATGTCCTGTATCATGTTGAACCATTTTATAACACGCTACATTTACTCATTCTTAATGACGTTACATACAACACGCTACATTTACTCATTCTTAATGACGTTACATACAACACGCTACATTTACTCATTCTTAATGACGTTACATACAGCACGCTACATTAATTCATTCTTAATGACGTTACATACAACACACTACATTAATTCATTCTTAATGACGTTACATACAACACGCTACATTAATTCATTCTTGTTATATATACACCCATATTTAGAAAGGTGGAGAGAAAAATAAATATTTTTACTTTATCTTTATGCCTGGCTTGATTTAAAAAGTCCTAATTTAGCATCAAACTTGCAATGTAGTATTAAGTTATAATGTAACATACAACTTATAATGTAGCCTTTAAAATGTTCTAATGTAGCATCATACTTATAAGGTCGCAATAAAACTGTTCTAATGCAACACCAACTTGTAATGTTGTATTCAAAATGTTCTAATGTAGCATCATACTTATAAGGTAGCAATAAAAACGTTCTAATCAGTGTTTGAAATTTGTGCTCATTCATTCTGCTGAGAGGAGAGAAAATTTTTTTATTAAAAGAAACATTTATGAAAAAGTCTTAGATGTGGTGGAGTACTTAAATATACTGTTCAAAATTGCATGATTTCTAGCCTTGAATAAATAGCTTAAAAGCTGAGGGAAACATTTTGTGGGATATTATTTGTTACACAGTAATAATATAGTATGTTTTATTTTATGTAAACCAAAGTTTGGTGTATTTTTGAGTTTACTGTTATAAGAAGTTTTATGTTCTAATTAAACTATGTTGCTCATTTATACTGATTAGTTTTACATTTGTAGCTGTGAATTTTCATGAATCATAATTGATATAACAATTAGTTTTAATTGTTTGTTTCTTTGTTATGAATTTTGTGCAAAGCTACAAGAGGACTATCTGCGCTAGCCATCCCTAATTTAGCAGTGAAAGACTAAAGGGAAGGCAGCTAGTCATCACCACCCACTGCCAACTCTTGGACTACTCTTTTACCAATGAATAGTGGGATCAACTGTTACATTATAACGCCTTCATGGCTGAAAGGGATAGGGATTTGAACCCATGACCCACAGATTGCGAGTCTAGCACACTAACCACCTGGCCATAACAGGCCTTATAAAATGTGAATATGTTTTATTGAAGATTATAAATTATAATATTATGGTGTAAAAATCTGGCATTCTAGACTCCTAGTCAAATGGGATAAATATAAACAATCAGTTAATCTTCTTTCTTTCAGCTTTGATAGATCTATGCTCCCAAAACTATGCAATGATCTTTTATCTTTCTATACTTTAAATTTTGACATGTCTTAACAAGTTTGTGTGAATCAGTGGAGGTATGAACATTTCTGCAAAGGAATGCTAATTCAGACCAATTCATCTATATGAAGGAATCCTTAAGTTCAAACACTGGTTATGATATTGCATCAAGGTCATAATGTAGCATTTCTGTATTACTTTATCTTCTTAAAACCTAATCCTTTTTTAATTTTCTTACAGTAATTAATTAGACTTACCAAAAAAAATGCAACCTTAACTTAAACAGTAGAAATGCTATTTTTACTTGATCCATTCTAAAATACTTCATTTTAAAAAACAAACAAAATCACACAAATATTCGCATATTAATAAATATGTTGGTATTATTCAGAAGGTTTTAAACAGATTTACTGAATCATGATTATCATAATTACAAAGTTTTAAACATTATTAATTATTATACATTTTAAAACATTTACTGAATGATATGACTGCTACTGATGGGATTATATAACCCACAACTAATAAAACGTTATTTCATCATATCAGATGGTGTTTTTTCATCACGTATGGAAAAATAACTCACCTGCATTATCTACTATTCTGAGAGGAGTTTTATTTTGTAAACATACTTAAAAAATATGGTAATAAATATTACTTTGACATTTTAAAAGTGACATTCAGATTTATAATGAAAAACAGATGTGGCCGGTTCTAAGAAGGTATTCCAATTATAGAAAAAAAAAAGTGGAATGTCTTTTTGTGAACATTTGTGTCCATTTAAGTACACTGGCAAATTTTACACTTGTGGCTCTTGTAACATCATCACTGAAGACCACAGGAAGGACTACACTATCGTAGACATTAAAATATATATATATACCATAATTAAACACATGCAGAAATACTGGTCTAACAATATGCACATGTAAAAAGACAACCATTACGAACAAGAGATCATGGAAGACAACAGGAGGAACTGGACTATATATATACACATACATACAATATATATACATATACAATATACACATACAATACATATACAATATACACATACAATACATATACAATATACACATACAATACATATACAATATACACATACAATACATATACAACATATATATACCCCTTAACTTTACACAAGCAGAAATACTAGTCTAACATAAGCATATCTAACAAGATTGTAACATTTTCTGTTATTTGAATCTTCAATAAAACGGAAACCTCAAACAAGTGTAACTACCTGTTCATATGGTTGAGAATGAATAATTCCTGCAAAATCCCAAAACTCTTTCCAAAAATCTGCATAATTTTCTATAGACCAGTCATGGAAACTCCAATAATTTTCTAAACATAAAATACACATTAAAATCACTGAAGTGTATATTTCTACAGAACCTATTATACACCTGTAGTAAGTAATAAACCACAATGCAAGAACATTTTTACGATATACATTACCTATAACGCACAATATGCTTCTTTTTGTATAATATCATTTACTTGTAACTTTTCTTCTGAATAACAACCAATATAAGATCATAAGCCAATCAAATATGATTTTAACTCTTAATTTATTTTTACAGCAACAACACTTTATATATCTGACTATCAGTATATTTATACAAGCTGTGATCAGGCTTAGACAAAGCTACGTGGTAATCCAACATTTTTATTTCAGGCTTAACATCAAACCCAAGACTTCTTCCACTCCAGGTGAGTGCTCTATCAACTAAACTTAAGAATTAACCTACTAGCACTTACCACTAAGACATTTTTTAATACCTCAACCTACCACATTCTTCCCTTCCCACAAACAAGTCCTCTCATCAACCTTTATCTTGGAGTCTTCAGTTTTTCTTATGGAAATTTCAATTTTTCTTTTATTTCCTTAGTTTGTTTCTCAACCCAAGATCATTCAGATGCCAAGTGCCAATGGAGCTAAGAGGTTAACCTACTAGAACTTACTAGTAAGGCACTTTTTAACAGCTCCTGCTACCATAGTTACACCACTCTGATACCGTTAAAATAATAGAGGATACCTTTATTTAAATTACTCATTTTCAGTGTAAATAGTATTTATATATATATCATTACAGAAGAAACAATATACGATTTATGTGAGAACAAATATTAATTATTTCTCACAAAATAAACACTTAAATAATTAGGTGAAAAACTGTTCTTCTAACTTACCAAGCTTGACTTCATATTTAGCATTTATTTTTCTTCTTAAAATATCAATATTTGTGTTTTGTCTTGTAGGAGTCCACATCATAGTGGGTTTTGTCAGATCAGGTTGCTCCATTTTTTTTCCCTGCATATAATGATAATCTTTTTATTATGAATATATTTGAATGGATGTCAACTGTATATTCATCGTGAATACTCTGCCTAAACAATCTACAAAAGAATATTTTTGCTATTTCGCTTTTGTATTTTACACAGTGTAAAACAAATTGGAATAAAATGTAACAAACATTAACTTTTAAAATTATTCCAGTAACATTCCCTATTCTATTCTCCGATCAACTGAGTGTTCCAACGAACCACATAACCCAAAAAATATTCATTCAATATTATACTATTTTTAAATTAATCTCCTACAATTCAAATCTAAGTTTTAGGGAAATTTAACAAAAAAAAAGGGTGACAATTTACCTTAAACATATCAATGGACTTGCATGTATAGTGAATGAAATCCAATCAAAATTATTCACAGTGCCTAGTAAAACAAAATAAACTTTGATAATTATGGATGAGTTTGGTTACATCTTCAGTAAGTCCCATGTGCCTGGCTATGGTATGAAGATGCATTTTACAAACAGAGCAAAGCCATTTCCTGACAGAAGCAAAAAAAATATATGGAAAATAAAAGTAAACATGATTGAAAACAAAGTTTTCCTTAAAAATCAGTAACTTAAAAGAAAATAATTTGGCTTGTTGAAGTTTACCCTGATCCACCAAAAACTTATCTGCATTAAATGTCACCCTTTACATCAGTAAATCAAAGTACGAACAACTGTAAAGAAACATGATGACATACAGGATAAAGGAAACAATTCCATAAGGAAAGAATTCATTCTGCCAAAGAACAAACCTGGATCTGGCTCATATAAATGTACTAATTATCCATAATAACTTAATTCATATTTTCCATTCTAAATGTAATATTCCACCATTGAAACACATCTCTCACAGTCAATTTAACAAAACCCCTAACAATTTTAAACACATCAAGGCTAGATCTTTCAGAGAAAACAATTCAATATTTTATGCCTTGCTACAAATGTTACCTTGAATTTTTCTTAAAACAAAAATTGTGTTAGAATCCTGTCTTTTTATGCTTTCCAACAAACCTTTGTCATTTCTAAATTAAGGAGACATAGCGCACACAGTGTTATAAATGATTTTTTGTGCTTAACTTAAAGGTTATAAGAAATGTTTAACACATTCAGCATGCATGTAACTTTGCCCAGTTTTAAGGGTCAGTGCTACTTTAAGCTTTCCAAGAAACTGACTATAATCAGTGTTCCCTCTAAGCTGTGCAACTGCACAACAACCAATCAAATGTTACACACTGAATCATTCCTGTGACATACATCTTCAGTAATGGTGAGGAGTCTCAACATGTTGACAGCCTTAAGGACCCTGGCAGATGATAAGCCTAAAGCCCAAATAACAAACTGGTAGCATTTCAAAGTGGCCTAATGATTCAGTAGGGTCGATAGTCTAAAAACATCCCACCCAAAAAAACTTGTAGCACACATCCGCACATTGCCTTCATATTGGTGCACATGAAAAAATTCATTCCGCACACGAAGTGAAAAAATTAGAGGGAAGGTTCCTGAAGGTTTGTATTAAGGTTGATGAAGCAAAAATTATATAAAGAACAATGTTAGATAATGTTCTAGTTTTTTTTTTTGTAATTACAACCCTATTGGCCACATTCGATTCTAACTGCATATCCTACTTTGTGAAAGTAATAATTGATACATTTAACTTATTAAATAATTGTGTCTTTAAATTCAGAGCCAAAAGTCTAAGAAAAAAAAGGGGGGGGATGTTCCTATTTCACAGTGTGTTTTTCATTCCCCTTCTTGGGCAAAAATCTTCCAACAAAATAGTTCATGTCCACCATTCAACAGTTTCCAGTTATGGATGCTAAGACACAAACACACAAACATAATGAATCTTCTTTACAGTAAGATACAATATAATGCATACTTTTGGTTGACACTGCTTTATTATCACTCAGAGTTGCTACCTTAAAATTTTATTTTACTGACATACAAACAGTGACATCATTCAAATAAAATATTTTTTTTACAACTTATGGGTTACAGACAGTATTTAAATGCAACTTTTGTTCACTGACTGTCCATAAATATATGGACAGTTGGCAGTCCTGTTATAATTATCATATTATTACAAACAATCTGCAAATACATATATTTTAACTCTTTTTGTGACTGTTTCTAGACTAAAACACAGGAACAAAACAACAGTTTTTTTTTTGTTTGTTTTTTCTATGAGTATTATCTACAGGAACTTAACTTCACAACAACATACTTACAAAACTCAGTTCTAACTGTTACTTTCAAATGGGAGTTTTTCCAAAAGTGGACAGCTGTGTATTTTCCATCAAGTGGAAGGTGAAATCATGATAGTAATCACAGACTTATTTATTTTCTGTTAAGCACAAATCTACATAATTGGCTATCTATGACGTTCCTGCTCACCACGAGTATCGCAAAATAAATTATAAGGTTATAAGCCCTCAGACTTATTCAAGTTATTGCTGACCAACTTGATACCATTGTATCAAGTTGGTTTTACGTGCAAGTTTAATTTTGAGTTTTAGTAACAAGTACAAATATCTAACGTACCTCAAAATAAACATTTCAGAATTAGAAATCATATTACAAAGTACATCTCATATTCACAATGTTTACTTTTAGTTTTGCGAACTGTTACTTTCAAATTCAAGATAAGTTGAACTTCAAAAGGTTTTGTGTCGATTATTCATTTATTGTAGCATTTAAATTTTTTTCTCATTCAGAGCGTAACTTTAAAAAGCTATAACTTTCAAGAAACAGAAATTAAAGAACAACATAACAAACATTTACATATCGTCCGATTGATTGTTAGGCAATCAGCATAAAACAGGGTATTTACTGTTAATATTAGTGGACAGCACAACTCAACTAGCTCCTACGGAACTTGCTCATCAATATAGCAGGAACCCTATACTACAGACATTAACAACACCGCACTACAAAAATTACTATAGCATTTACTACAACTTACAAACAACTGCAAGAAAATAAAACAAACATCTCTTATCACAGAATTTGCGCTTGGTGTAACTCTAGAGTCTAGACTATTTTTATCAGTTTTAATTTTATCTCTTATCTGAATAAACGTCATTGCGTCGGCAGTCAAGCAAATGAGTAAATCAAAATACGAACCAGATACAGAGATGAAATTTGGACAACTCACACAAGTATTAAAAACAACAATACTACTAGTACTAGCAATAAATACCACTGTACAATCTGAATACTAGTACTCAGTACAGTAGTGGTAGTACTAGTAGTATTACAATCAATGGCTAACTTAATTTTTCTTTTAAAATCATTGATTTTCTTTAGAACGTGCATACTAACGACGATGAGCATTTTTCACAGTCTAATATTTTGGAACGGTATTCAAATATACTCAATTCACATGAGCTCAATGTTACAACGTTCTGGAAACATTAAAATTACCTTGCTTGATGCTCTTTTAGAACTTTCTAATGAAACTTAATAGAACACGACTTCTCGAAAAAACTATTAAATATATATTGATCCACGTGGAGGACAACAACTTAGTCACTTGGTTTAATACTGCGCCCTCTATATGTGAAAGTTATAAACCAAAAGACCTTGCTAAACAAACCGGGTCATGGTAAAACATCGGCAGCATAAAAAAAAAAGACTCCTTTCCAGTGACAGGCAGTGAGGTGAAAAGATGACACAAAACTGTTTGTGGTTTATTCAGGTTTCAAATGAGAATATAAATGATTAAGAAAAATACATCCTACTTTCTAAAAAATATTTTTTATGCCAAATAAACTATTAAAGTTCTGCATATTATTTACGCTATCAATTTGCTATGGGTGCGTTGAACAATAGAACCCAGCTGCTGAGCTTTGATTATTTGTTATGTCGCCGATATAGTACTAATTACTGTGAAGGAAATTAGGCGTAGTGGTTGTTAAAAAAGATAAAAAGAAGTATGTTATATGTCAAACCACTAAGTAGTTAATATATATAATTGTGGAGACAACGTTTCGGTCTATGCCCTTTTTCAGGTATCACTAATTTTTAATATTTATAATTGCTGATATAAAGTTTCGGTCAGTGCCCTTCTTCAGGTATTACTAGCTGATATCTGATTTAGGGCATTACCCGAAACCTTGTATCCACAGTTATATATATATATTAACTCCTTGGTGGTTTGCCTATATCATACTTCTTTTTATCTAATTACTGTGAGTTAAATTGTAATTATCAATAACTTATGATCAAAGCAAGTTACATACAGAACTAAAAATTAACCTAGTAAATAATGCAGCTAATTTTATATAAGATTCTAACTAGGAGTATGCAATATCATAAATTAAAAACATAATTATTATAACGCTTTTAATTCATCTTTAGGTGTACTCATTGTTAGCAATATTTTCGGTTCTGCAGTTTTAGAGCTAGTGGTTTCGAAAAATAGGCAGTTATATCATTCGATCACATAACTGCCAATTCATTGGTGCAACTCCAATGGATTTCTGCACCTTTGGTCTACTTTAACATGCTATTGGAAACCGATGTTTACGTACAGTCGAAGGTCTGTAAAATATTTGTCAAGGTCTGAAGTTTAAAATTGGCTTCATCGTCCTTCGCAGAAGCTTTTTACTGTGGAAATCACGGTTTCAGTGCGTAATCATGGCTATCATACTGAGAACTGTCAATGGTGGAGGATCTATTTGTTTGTTTTTAGAAGTTTTGCGAAAGCTACACTAAATGTGTCTAGACATAGCCGTCCCCAATTTTTAACTTATAGACTATAGTCAACAGCATACACTGCCAACTCTGTGAGTTACTATTGTCTGACCAAACAGTCGAATATGACCGTCATTCTCTTAACACACATATTACCCCAAAGTGCGGAGTGTGTTTTTGTTTTTAGGACAACGGGAACCAAACTAGTTTATTAAGCAAATATACCAAAAAAAGATTTATTTTATCAAAAAGTTACACAATAGGCTATCCGCACTTTGTTCACTACTGGGAATAGAAACCCAGGTTTTAGCGTTATAAATCCGTAAACTGGGGTATTTACCAGAAAAAAAAACACGCAGCTTCGTACCACATATATACTACGTCGGCCAGGGTGTATGGGTTTAATTGAGTTCCTCCAAGAAAAGTAATACGGATTCCTTTTATTCACCTTGTACCTGTAGCTCAAAATGAAACTGTTCTTATAGAATAAGCTATAATTGCCTCCCAGTAGGTTAGCGCACAGATAAACAATAGTTCAAACCTTGTGTAGCCTTTCTAGGTCACGGGAGATTTTTAAAAGTAAGATAATTCCACTGACCAAGAGTTAAGACTTCAAGAAGACTGATAAATACATTCTCAACTATTTGTCATTAGATCAAAGAAAAAGACCGAATTGGTGTGGCAACATAAGCGATGAGAAGAAAACTGTCAAAAAAAAACAATCGTTGGAAAAAATCAAAGAAATAGTTATATATTTTTTGTTAATATTAATTTAAAGAAACAACAGAAAAACGCACAGAATTTGGACTGAGTAATTAATACCGAAATAAAAACTTGAATTTGTGTTCAGTAAATATTAAAACATGCGTAAACACATAAACAAGAACGTTTGAGAATTTTCCAAGTCCTTTTTCACAACTGTAATAACTCAACAGGTAACCTAGTCGAAATCCTGCTCTGCTCTTGGTTAGATTCTAGACACTGACGAGACATTGTTAAAAATGTGGCAAGGATAAGAACTAACTAGGAAACGAACGAGACGAAATTTATTCTAAAATATTTTCAGAGTGGGATGGCACGTACCCCTTCTCCCCCCCCCCCCGCTTTACCCTCTTAGAGTGTATATTTCTTATTTTAAAAACGTCATGATTTTCCCAGGTTCTCACTATAAAATTAAATCACGTTGAGGTCACGTGATGAACCAGCCTAGGTTCTTGCATTTTGTAACTCGATCGGTCGAGAGACTTAACAATCGTTTCGTAGGATGGCTGTATTATGCTCTGCTTGACCTTGTGGCTGTGACATGAAGCAGAGATATTTCCGCATTTCGGTATCCCTTTTTCTAATTGGTCATTTACAAAAAGAATGCGCTTAGAGGCAGGGGTGAAATTGTCAAAAGAAAAAAGTAGAGGTACTCAGCTGGGTGAAGTGGACCTGTTTTCGAAAAAGAAAAAAATCTACGCGTAAACATAAAAAAACTACAAAGTATCTCAAATAATTCCCGGTACTAGTACCGCCTTCAAAAATAATTTCCGGTAATCAGTAACGGTGAATACCGGTAGAATTTCACCTCTGCTTATAGGAGAGTTGACTGTTTTGAATCCTAAATGAGTAAAGACTGTGAAAACCCTGTCTTTGCTTCGCAGTTTTTCTGCTTGCTGATTGTGTAATCTATATTAATCTTGTTTACATTTTCCTACAACTTATCCGATCATTTGGTTTTATTATATATATATATTAATTGGCAAAAAAGTGTTTCCTCTTTATTTATATTTCAACATCGAGTCTTCTCTCCTTTTGTTAAACCTTTCACAGATATTAAATTGACAAATAAGGATTTATAAACACAATGAAATGGTTTTATTTTGGGGAACATACTACATGTTTTCAAATTCGATGACGAGGAACACACTTTGAAACTAATAATGGCTTGAATGGGTAATGAAGAAAAACTTTAATATAAGTTTAACATAACAGCAAATGTACAACGTTTCGACAAGGTTTTGTCATCATCAGGTACAA